AAAAAAAAAAAAAAAAAAAGAAGTAAATAACCATTTTCTTTATTCCACGGAGTCCTTTACCTCCTTTTTCCCCTAAAGAAAGTCAAACTTTCTAGTCATCAGCCATTATTAAAACGATTTAAGATAGGAAACGCATAAAAACAGCTTCTGAACCCGGACCTGAATGCAGGAAGTTTCCGCCTTATCTTTGTACGTTAATATGAGTGCAGGTTAGGTAACCATCAGGGCCTTAGTCAGTGTGAGGTAAAACGTTTTTTTTTTCTTTCTTTAAAGGGGTAAAGCAAAACACTGCTAGCAAATAAATATAACACCCGTAATACCAAGGAAGAGAATCTAACCATGAACATCGCCTAAGTTGTTTTCGGTATTCTGAGTCCCAAATACTGCATGTTCTACCGACGATATTGCTTTGATTTTTGTTTTACCTGCTCGGGTTCCATCGGGGCACAACAAATTAAAGTCCTTTCCCGGGTTAAGATCGTTATCTCTTCCCGTAAAGTCAAACACAGTGAGATGACTGACAAACGCTACGTCACCGGCGCCTTCCGTCAGGCAGCGGTATGCGCCTTGATAACCGAAGTACTTTTCGGAGACACTGGATGGGCACGTCTTCTGATTGAAGCAAATAGCACACAGACTTATAGGATTGGTATCGTCTGGGTTGTATTTCTTCGAGAGAGCCCCTGGTGAAGTACAAGATGAACATTTTACTGTAACTCAGTTGTTACTTGAGCCTTCGCTCCTACTGTTCAGCAAAAGAAGCGCGCAGCGGTCTCTCGTGACAGAGATCACCCGCTATGAGGCCATTTTCTGCAGTCTTGTATTCTTTTTACGGGAGTCGCGTATAAACAGGACCTGATACAATCCCTCTACAAAGTGGCAGAGAACAATAAGCTTTCAAATCTTGGGCGAACGCTAATGAGTCTGATTGGGTTACCGCCGAAAGCAAAAGCAACTACCCGCTTCTTGGGTAATCTCGAAAAACCCGCCCGCCATGTTGGAAGAGGCATTTGTCACTTTTTTTTCTTTAACCAGGGATGCATGCAATATATAGCAACGCATCTCATTTGTGGGCCACTTTACCATGGAGACCGGGATCTTTCTCTTGTCAACTTAGTTAGTGTGCTAATTTTTGTTTTTGTTTTGTTGTTGTTTCAAGCACTTTTATCGTGAGCCCCAGGCTTGGGAAAATGGGTAACCATAACCACTTCCTGTGTCACGACTTAAATATATTATTACTTTTACTGTTATGGCTATTCTCATGTTTGTCAGCAATATGGGAGGAGGAAAAACCTATACTACCAGGGCTCCTGGCCTAAAGCATCCATTGCCGTTTTTGCCTTCTTTCCTTCTTATCGTCATTTCGCGGCTTTATCGGTGGCATCGGGGATCATAACATCTTGGTGAAATCACAAAGCGGAATAAATAAGTTTCCAGAAACTAACCAACATAACTCAGCGCTCCTATCTCTCTCTCCTCCCCTATAAAAGTTTCATATAAACCACAAACCTGGAACGCAGCTTTGTTGAAAATACTCTCCAGCGGACTGGTAAGGATTACATTCTTCCCACTGCATTGCCCCGTTCTCAATCAAGAGCCCTACAGGAGCTGTCCATCCGACCGAGTCTCCCGCGGCAGGGTGACACGATTTTCTGCCCTTCAGAGATTTCAGCGAGATTTCTTTGGAAAGATTAGTTTTAATTAGAGCGACGGCGTAGCTACTCAGACCTTGTTCATGCTTGCCATAATCTTCCGATACCACTGGTACAAGACCGTGCTGAACACCTGTTCGAATGGAACAAAATGGTGTAAACGTAGAATTTGGCCGTTTGCAAGGCTTCACAATGAGCAGTACTAACTCTGTTTCTTTCACATTCTTGATCTGATTGTCTTATTAACTAAGTACGAGATGTTAGAATCTTTCTAAGTACTTTAAAGAAGAGGTGTGATTCGCGAATACAGCCGTGAGGGTATGTTGTCTACGGTTACTGTTGCGTGACATGTTTCTTGTACTCAAACAACTGAGGATTTTATGGATGTGTGCGTGCCTACAGACATAACTCTATTCACACATACCAGCCTGATAAATTTGTTCCTCTCCAAGAGTGATGACGTCAGCAATGCCATTGCCAACCATCCTGATGCAATTGGTGACGTTTCTTCCATGTACACACGTGATGCTTATATTCCAGGCAATCTGTGACGTCACATTCGCTAAGTGTTGGCATTTGGACATTTCTGCGTCCGAAATACAGCACCATCGATATTCTTCAACAAGAGTAGGAAAACAAAGTTTGTTTACATGATTAGCAAAAACAAAATAAAATATAACATTAAAAAAAAAAAAAATAGAAAAAGAAACTGGTTCGAGAAATTTTTTCTTCATGTGGGAACTGCGTTCTAAAAAAGTCCAATAACTTTATTTAGGCACGAGGCATTGGCGACCTAGCTGGTAAAATTGCTTCAAAAAATGTAAATAACGAGATATCAATACAGAGTTTAAAATGGACATAAATATCTTCAGCGGTATTAGTCTTAACGAAAGAATGCACTGAATATTAATCTAGATAAGTTAGCTCTCTTGAAAACCGCTCAACTGGCTGAAAAGAAGGAGTTGAGTATACCAGTTTCCTTAGACTGTGCTGTTGTATTTTTCAAATCGTGCAGCAGAAATCTATCTGGCTCACACGTGCGAGTAACGAAGCCATGAGAACGAAGACTCTGATTCTTCAGACGGCGGTCGGAGGTGACCTCTGGCAGACTCCATTATTGGGTAAATTTGACAAAACAAACAACTCTCAAGTGTTCCTTTGTGAGACTGATTTTTGATTTGCTTTAAAATGAAACAAGACCGGAAAAAAATACCAAGGAGCTCGATTTGAGCCACATGTTTGGCAGTTAGGCATGAACAATTCAAACGATCAGAGCTTTTCAGACGGCTGGTCAAAAGCAACGAAGACGCTGGACACGAAAGTGGAAGTTGACGAGACCGGCGAACGACCAATAGGGCCGCGTACTGGATTAACACTATTAATTATCATATTTAGTAAGACGCTTAACGCCTCCGGTGACAATTATTAAACATTTATTCTCTCTGAGTAAGTAACGGAAGGTAAACATTTAGGAATTTTGCTCTGTTGGATAAACCTGGTGTTTTTTTGAAAAAATCTAATTTACTGAGAAAGTGATTTTAAGTACAAATGTTTCAATAGAATTAACGCCTCTTCCCTTGGAATTTTTCTTGATCGAGGAAGAACCTTGGTTTCGAGACAATAATTCTGCGTTCTCAACAGGGAATAAAATCAACAAAGTAATTGACAATAACGGGTAGGAAACAGTAGTTTTACTTGATCCGACAACTTTAAAAATCGTTTATTTTATTGTATCTAAAGCGTAGCTTTTATCTTGGAAAATATTGTGTAAACAGTAGTGAGTAAAGTGCACATCAACAGACAGGCGAGGTCAGGATACTGATTTAAAAAGATTCTGAGACGGCGCTGGCGACTTTAGAATAATCCAAACTCAGTTGTCCATGAAGCCATTGACTTTCCTGCTTGAAAGCTATGGCACTTTTCAAAATGGACCACGCTACTATATACGGTTCACTTATGCCAAATACAGCAACACAAGGGTCGATTAGGTCTGGGCATGAATCAGAGGTACCTTTGAGAAAACTCAATCACAACGTGGACGCGATCTTTACGAGGACCCTACATGAAATAATCATCAAATATAGATTGCTGTCGCTTTCATCCTACCTGCTACCGTCGAAGATGAACTCGGAATTTGATCAAAACAAAGAACAGCCATAAGTACTGAGAACAACCTTTCCATTCTACGTTGTCTCCGTCCGATCTCTGAAACACTGACGGGCTGTTAGAGAGTGTTAAATAGCTATAATTACTTGCAGAGGTAATACCACTGGGCGTTTTAGCCGTGAATCGTCATCATTAACATCTTGGTCTCTCGTCCGGGAATGGTAGTTCTTACTGTTGGTCTGCTTGTACGGAACTGAAGCATAAACGAAAGGATAATTGATAAAGCGATCATACGTTGCCGTTTACAGCTTTGTCATCTCGTGATGATAAGGATCAATCAATCATGCATTAAACATGTTACTGTTTAGTTAACCCATCAAACTTACGTCACGGGTGCACTTCCGAGCGAAACGTGATGCATTCCCCGAGCGACGACATTAGCAGTCATGAATACACTTGTAGAATCGTTCTTCTTTCAAGATAAATGAAACAATCGCTTTCTTTTAACTATTATTATTATTCTCGTTTTGGCGTCTTTCTCAATACTGAAAGTTTTGTCTACTAGATGTGCAAATCGAAAAAATTAACATCAGCAACCGCTCGTTTTCTTTCCAGCCAATGGTGTTTTCTTCTTAACAATGATCGAGTCTATATTTAGTTAAAAAAAAAAAAAATTGACAATAAATGGTCAGTTTCAAAGAAATGGCCTCTTACGCAAACTCGTTTCTTTACCATCACGTTGGCGTGACATCGACAACTAGCCGGTCTGACTTCAATTAAAATTGACAGCGTTGCTATGGTCACGAGAT